AAAAGGCGAGAGACAAAGAGAGATCTACTCCGAACGAACGAGAAACGGTAAAGGTTTATTTCACAATCTTTTTACGATATTCTGAATGCTGATGCTTCGACGAAAATGGCAAAGAGATTAAACTATCTCTCCATTTAGTACGCGAAGCGAAAGATGATTTTGGTTTTGCTCTATGTGTGTGTGCGTTTGTGTTATTGTTGCCAAGATCACATCCAATATTCAAATATGAGTACGCTCGAGTGCCGTCTATACATAATTTAGAACACAGTTATGTTATACGTTCGTTCGCTTTGGATCATTCTCTTCGAATGCTCCATCGTTCGTCTCCATTGTACGACAAACCACATTCAATATTCCATTTGAAAAATGTTGATATTCTGGGTCCCGTAATTCGAAAGTCTCTCTATGGCTCGATGCAACTCAAAAACACATACAAATTTCTTTCGTCTATGCTGTTTGGGTGTCTCTGGTCGATTCTAATCATTTACACACCCCGATTTTGAGGTTTTCAAATTCGAACGCCGATAAATTATCACAGTCATTGTCAAGAAATGATTTGGTTGAATCTCTATTTGAGTCGAGGTTTTATAAATTTCACTCAAAGAATGTTCATTGGCCAATTCTTAGGTTTCAACTGCACTCACCGTAAATACAACTCAGTTTATCAAACGATAATTTTTTTTTTTTTTTTCGTTGTTGATTTGAATTTAACTCTCCATATCGATGATGATGATACGGTGATCCGTAACGAGCAAGAGGAAGCATCAAAATCAAACTGATATCATTGTTTGAATGCTGTTATCCATGAAACCGCGAGACTCGCACTTTCACATACCAATTCTTTTTTGCTCGGTCGTCGTGTGTTTTTTATCGTGCTCTAGTGTTCATCGTATATTGACTGGTGTTCGTTCATCTGATTTGAATTTGATGCGGTTTGTGTATGCTTTGAAAGGCGGCATTGCGTTTAAATGCGGCGGCAAACGATGAGATGTTGTTGACGGTGTAATAAGCGAAAGAAAGAGATGGTTTAATCGAATTTCTCTACATGTCAACCCATGTACATACAACAGAAAACCTATTTACAAAGTTCACGCAATTTTCAATTTTCCCCGATTTTCTTTTCGGGCTACTACTGTAATTTTTCCGCAGCTTGCACTACCATCGTCGTTGTCGTCGTCCTCATTGCTGTATACTTGCTCTCTTTATGCCACTCATTGTCCAACACCGTTGACTTTTGAGTTTGATTCTTTTCCGTCGCGAAGGAGAAATGAATATGTGTATTTGTAAGCATCGATTACACATCGAAATGTGAAGAGAGCGACAACGAACATGCACGTTTTTTGGTTGATGCAAAATGGGCAAAACAAGTGCTTGAATCGCTCTGCTCACATACCAATAAATAAAAAAGAGATATAAGAAGAAGAAAAAACAAAACAAATGAAGCCATAATACGTGACATATATGGAACAGTTTTTAGCATGCTCGGGTACATTCATTTACTTTTTGGAAGCGTTCCGACTCTATTTTTTTTCCTTTTTTTATATATATTCAATTGACTGTTATGGCACACACCAAACCGATAATAGACATGACAAATAGAGAACAACCGCATCCGAGAATGAAAAAAAAAATCGTATTGTCGTCGCCGTTGTCGTGATTTGGTCGAACAGAAAGAGATGCACATTGAACCAAATAATACACAACAAATGAGCGAAGAATTTTATTGGCATGCAATCGGCCGTGTTTGGTATGTTGTGTGTGAATTGCACACAAAGTGTGAGCAATTGAATGCGAAACAGATAGAGCCATAAAAGTGACACATGGGTGGTCGAAGCGCCACTTCGATGACGTATTCAAAGTATTTCAAAAAAAAAAAAACAAAACAAAACACTAAGCGCATCGCAAAATCACATTCCATTGTAATCAAATATAGTAAAAGTGTTTGAAAAGTGGCGCGACTCTGCCGAAAAAATCACATATAAATTCAATCAATCATTATCATCTGTCATTGAAATCGAGAGTAATAGCGAGTTGAATGTCAATGATGTTATTTTCCTTTTTTATTTCCTCTCGTTCCCTCTTGCTCTCGCTCTTTGCAATATTGAGACGATCCGTGTGAACTCCAGCTGCTGTTGCCGTCTACAGTTCCTTATGTAATGCGAAAAATGGTATGAATTTCGCTCGGATGGCGTGTGTAAAATCTTGTTTGGTGACATAGAATTTTCGAATGGTTTTTCCTCTTTTATACACACATTATACTTTTTCGGTGTCGTAAGATACGCTGGTGATTCGTGTTCACCGCGACATGCGTGTGTGCCG